CCAACCCCTGCCTCTGGCAACCACCAATCTCTTCTTTCCTTCTATGAGTTTGTTTTTTTAAGATTCCACATATGGCCCAGCCAGGTGTGGCTCAATGGTTGAGCATCAACCTAGGATTCAGGAGACCGAGGTTCGATTCCTAGTCAGGGCACATGCCCAGGTTGTGGGGTCAGTCCCCCCTTGGGGGCGTGCAGGAGGCAGCTGATCAATGACTCTCTCATCATTGATGTTTCTATCTCTCTCTCCCTCTCCCTTCCTTTCTCTGAAATCAATAAAGATATATTAAAAGAAAAAGATTCCACATATGAGTGAGATCATGCAGTATTTTTCTTTCTCTGACTTATTTCACTTAGCATAATGCCCTCAAGTTCCATTCATACTGTCACAAATGGCAGGATTTCCTTCTTTTTTATGGCTGAATAATATTCCACTGTATATATACCATGATGATTTTTTTTTTTTTTTAAATAAATGTCTAGTGAATTGGAGGGAAAAGAATGAGGGGCTGACAGGCCAGTGTTACACTCTCAGAGCAGCAGGGAAGGGACAGAGGCCTACGCCAGCGAGGAACTGCTAGGTTGGAGATGGGACAACAGATACCCAAGTCACTTCATACATCTCCTTCATGGGCTGGCACCTTGATTACTGTACTTAATTGATTACTTATCTGATTACTGCAAGCAAAAATGGTCATCATTCACCCAGCCCGTGCCCCTCCAGGTACATGGATTTGAGACAGCATGAGACTCAAAGCATGGCGTTCAAGTCCTGGGAAATGACTGTCCCCACAGTCGTTTCCCCTCAAGTCATCTCTCAAGGCTGCATATCCCAATTTCACAATCACTGCCTGCCTTTCAAAACCCCTCACCATCCTGGCTGCTATGGAGACGGCTAAAACCTCAGTCCTGGCATACCATGCACGGAGGGTCCCGCTGCTCAGACGCTCCCCTCCCGGCCTGTCCCCATCGGGGTCCCTCACGGGAGCTGCCACCTGTGACAGCTGCTCCCGGTAGGGCCCACCAGGCTCTCCTGGGCTTGCTAGCACAGCGACCGCTTTAGAATAAAGTGCACAATCCAAAGAATGGACTTCAAAAAAGAAAAGCCACCCTCAGACATTTATTTCTGTTCCCCACGACCACCACCGTTGGCGCTACAGCCCACGGTCCCTGCGGAAGAGCTGAGGTCAGGGACCGCGAGGGTGCGTGTCCCTGGGGCTGCCGGCTCCCGACACCAGGGGGCGCCAGCGGCCCGGGTTCCCGACCGCGCCGCCGCCGCCGTGCGCCCGTCGGGGAGCCAGGGTCCCGCTTGGACGAGAGTGACCGCTCTGCACGGACACAAAGCCGCGCCCCAGCTCTGATGCCTGATGGGGG